CATGAATGCAGGCCCACGTGCTCAAGTACAACAAACAATGACAACATGCTGACAACTGAGGCTTTGAGGGCCTGATTGGCGATCAGGCTCCTCTCGGCTTCTGGGATCCGCTGGGTCTTGCCAAGGACAAGGATGTCGAGGTGTTCAAGAGGCCTGAGCAACAAGCACGTCTTGAACGCAGCTACAGGGTAGAAGAGGTACTGAACATGGAACACCACTGACGGCACGAACTCAATCCAGGCGCCGTGAGACTGAGATCAAGCACGGCCGAGTGGCTATGTTCGCAACCATGGGTTCCGAGCTAAGTTGTAAGTCCGCTATTCCATATTACAGTAGTGTCTTGCAGATGTGTAACATGTGATATGTTTCCTTTCAGGCTACATTGTGCCAGAGTACTACAAGTTTGACGGATACCTGTCCCCATCCATGAACCTGAAGTTCGCTGATGTGCCAAATGGCTTGAAGGCTTGCTGAGACAAAACATGGAATCAACATGTAACACATCGTAACATATTAGATAACATACATGTGTGATGTATTCACACTTGTTATATGCTTGGCTTGGAAGCAAGCTAGCCGGAGATTGTTTTCTGTGCAGGCACTGGCGGTTGTGCCCAAGGAGGGCTGGGCTCAGATTTTGGCCTTCGCTGGCTTCCTGGAGTTGGTTGTGAACAAGAAGTCATCCGAGCCAGGCTTCACTTTACTTGGAGAGTTGGAGTGCTTGTTGATTCTTCGATATCTCTGAGTTCGCAAGGCAACTACGGTAAGGGCAACTTTGGCCTCGGAAACATTGGATTGGGCAACTCCATCCAGGATGCTACGACCAGGACTGCGCACCGATTTATATACTGTAATCAGGGAAACCAGCATTTGGGTCGGAGCCGATGATGTGCAAGGAGCAACAAGCTTAGCGTTGAACTCGCGAACGGACGTTTGGCAATGATGGCCATCATCGGCATGCTTCTCGAAGCCTGCATGATTTTGCCCCCACCATGTGTGTTAGCGTTGTTACTCTCTTATTGATATCTTGAGAAAAGAACATGAACATGAACTATTCAATTGAAGAGTCACTCTGACCTAAGGTTCTTCCAGGATGGCTTGACAGGCTCTGCCTGGGGTGACTGGGCCAACTACACCGACTCCCCTCTGCGCACTTTGATCGCAAATTTATCTTGACCAACACTCATCGTCGCTTATTGTTCAGCTTCGCCTTTTTCGTTCTCCAGTCAGCTATATAAATAGTATTACATAATTAATATACCATCAGCTGATTTAACATTATTGCATGGTTTCCTCTAAACCTCCATGTAGTAGTAAGGAGTAAAAACTCTAAAGAATGTTGCCTGATTGTGACCATGAGCTTAGGAAGCGGAAAAATGAGCCCTGGCTACAACACCCTGCCCGAGTTCAACAAGCCTAAGACTGGCTGAGACCTCAGAAAGTATCAGACAGTTGTGCATGTGTGATCTGAAAGTGATCGCAGTGCAACGACATGAATGCAGGCCCACGTGCTCAAGTACAACAAACAATGACAACATGCTGACAACTGAGGCTTTGAGGGCCTGATTGGCGATCAGGCTCCTCTCGGCTTCTGGGATCCGCTGGGTCTTGCCAAGGACAAGGATGTCGAGGTGTTCAAGAGGCCTGAGCAACAAGCA